CCCCACAAGGCAAAGGGGGCCCACAATTGGGGCCAAGTGGCTGGACCACTTGGACTCACCCAAGTGGGCAGCCCATGGCGCCCCTCCAGAATATCCTGGAAGGTTGCGGAAGCCTTTCGCTGGCTTTAGGGGGTCCTCCGTGACCTTCCCGGTTTACCAATTTTTTTTCGATTTTCCCTTTGAAAGATTTTCAAACTTCCCGGAACTAATCCGGTGAATACCTCTCACGCTTGAAACACTTCTAGTGCTAAACAAATTGGTGAGCCTTAAGCCTGTGACCCTGCAGGTTCAGTAATGTGCATACATTACCTGGAACACCTTCAGATCAATAATCGATAGCGGGATCTGGCCATCCATATTGACTCCTACACATAGAAAAATAATTATCAGGCGAACCTTATGTTCATGAACACTATTCCCTTTGCTTAGTAATATAACAGAACCCAAGGCAAGACTTTATCGGTATCCTTGTGAAGCAACAACTTGACCACAACACCGAGTTATCCTCGTCACCGGTTTTGTTCTTTTTCTTCTTTCCGCATTCCGGTTTCCCTGTGATCATATCTCGTTGTGTCTGGCCAGACTGGATACCGTAATGTCGAGAGGCCCCGAAAAATATCTCTCCATCATCGGAGGAGAAAATCTCAATCTTGAGCTATCAAATCCCTAGACATGCTTTTCTGATGTACCTCAAAACAACCGTTCTAATCACCCTGTTATGGGTAACATTTGACAAACCCCGAAGTACCCATTTGTCATGAAGGTACTCGATACTCTCATGGTCTAAGGAAGTAAGCCTATTTTAACACTTGCATGATTATAATTGTAAAAATGTGACTATGTAGTCTCGAAGTATATCATTAGATGGGCCTCTTTAGCACCCTTGTTTTTCTAACAATGTGCTCTCATTTGTTGTCGGCATCCTTGTTACATTAACAATGTCGATAATCAAGAAAATGGGATCATCATGAAACACATGAGCTAGTCTTAGACGCGGGATTAGGGACCTATCTGGTGTTTACATTTACACACATGCATATGGGTTTTCTTGTGAATCTCATATTTATGGCCATTGCAATTATGGGACAGAAACATAAACTTGATTATGAACAAGGAAATAAACTATAACATTTTATTATTTCCACTAGGGCATATTTCCTTGAGCTATTAGTGTGGTGAGTTCAACATCTTCTTTTGTGTTGTTATGTGGCATTGTTTGGTTTTCCGTACTCACTGGACTGGTGGTGAAGGATGGCAAGCCTGTGTTTGCGTGGGGTGATGCTCTAGCCAATGTTTCTTCAGCAATTTCTAAATATGGTTTCAAGGAACGATTGACTATTGCGGCCTTTAAAGTCTGGTATGGCAAGAATGCTTGCATGTGTCCCTTTCCTTTACTATTAGTTCAGTGCAATTTTCAATCTCCGGTGGGCGGCATACAATCAGAGGAAGAAGAATGCTAATACGGTTTTGAGTGCCATTCTGCGTCCATTTGTCTTCCCATCGTGCTGACTATGTTTTCCTTGATAATTCTCCGCTCTAAGATACCCTTGGGTGTTTTTTCTCAAGAAAATTTGTATGAAGCATTCATATTTGGACTAACAATATGTGAATTGAAACTAACATATAGTATTATATTTCCTTCTTCTATAGTTGTAGAATATCTATTAAATATGAGTAGTATGCATGGTGCATTTTAATTTGGGTCTTTTCTCATGCATGCATGATGGCGTGATGTGGCATACTTTGCATGTTAAAAGAATTAGCAATACTGGGGGATCAATCATTTAGGTCATGCATGGTGGCATGATGAGGTGGCATGGTTGCATGTTGAGAGAATTGGAGTTAGTGGGGATCAACCATTTAGGTATATATAGGATGCCAACCTTTGGATTGGGAATAAATCTCATGCAAACTAAACGACTGGGATGATTGCAGATGCTCTATATGCATATGATTTAAAGATTCTAAAAGAAGTAAGACCACATACATTTTCAAGGTCGCTAGGTTCAATTATTACTATTATTGTTAATTCTAGGAGCTTTTTCTGTAAAGAGCTTTAACTAATCTTGTGAAGTTGATAAGAAAACAGTAAAATAAGAATACATCAATAAATGTGTATTGATGGGCCATTGGCCGGTTATTATATCCCTGTGAAGAGGAACGACATATTTGTCCATGGAAGAACCAAGAAGCAAACACTTCCACATTCGACATACCTCTTTTTGACACCTTACACACCCTTGTTTAATAGTATCTCGGTCGACAGCCTAACACTCTAGAGACCACTCTCAACGTATTTGTTACTCTTTTGTTTCCAAACACACCCAATGTAGTTAAGGACACTACAAATACAACCATATATAAACATGTCACAATTCATTAAGTGGCATATATTCATTTGTGGGGGATTGCGATTTTCCTTGCTTTGCTTATATTTATGGTGAAACTCAGCGCAATTTTTATTTCAAACTAAATTAGTAAACTAAAGTATTGGTATGACCGGGTGCACTTAGAGTTCATCATAAAAATAGTACTTATAACCGCGAACAAAAGAATCATATACTAATATAAAGTATCTTAATATGTCAGAACACACTTACATGGTTATAACAGAAAAAATTATTAGACGATACAGTGAACCACATGTGAATAAGAAACTTATTGTTAAAAAATAATATATATTTCACATAAAAAGTTGTGTAGAAATACAAAAGTTTAGTACAAATAAAGAAAAAACATTGTCGGTTAGAGCTAATTAAGGGAGTGAATATCCATCCATTTGTGTTATGTGGTATGTGGCTGAACACGAACTTCCTTACTAGGCACAAAGGTGCCAATGACTGTGTTGCCCAAGTACTTCTTTACCGAGCTGAAGATTGATCGAAACGGCATGTCCTATGCTTCATACATGAAGATTGATTCATGTGTGCTCCTTAATAGAAGTTTTTCACTCACAGCTTGCAAAAAAAAATGATAATTGTTTGGGGATTTGTGGTGCTTACGTTTA